CCATGACGTGTGTGTGTGTGCGTGTGTGTGTGTTTTTGCATGTGTATGTGTCAGGGAGAGAAAGGAAAGAGTAAGCATGTGTTTCTGTGACTGTTTAAGAATGTGTGTGTAGGCTGTGTGCTATAAGTGTATGTGCCTGGTTATGGGTGTGAGAGAAAGACAGCGTTGGGTAAATATGTTCATGCGCCTAGCTCCGAGTGCTGCCTACACCGAGCATCTCTTATTAATGCACGGTCTAGGGACAATGTGTCATACACTAACATTACATTTGTATAATTGGCAACAAACAGGAGTGTGTCTACAAGCACAGCTGCAGTGTGCTTTGATACACATTATCTGTACTGTGTGCCTTAAGGTGGTATGAATCCATTGTGTATTAAAACAATGATAAGATTGACTTTATTTGCTTTCAACAGTTTGATAAGTAAATGGTCGACACTGTCAGATGCGTAGGGAAAAAATATAGAGCTATAGAAAATGGTTAGATTAGCTTAGCACAAAATATGGACACCTGAAGCTAAACTGGGTCTGTCAAAACACAACAGATTGATCCTAAAAGCGCCTCCGAAGCTCATTTCGCAACATGTGTTGTCCTTAACTCTGGGCAAGAAAGCAAATAAGCATACATCAAACAATTTTCAACTTGTGTGTGTTAATTTTATGCAATAGAGAGAAGGGAATGAGTAGGAGGGTGACATCAGTCCACCAATGGTGCATCCATGCAGACGGGACAGAAGGAAGGCGAGGAGTGGAAGGTGTTGAATTTATAAAAGAGTGAAGAATTCATCACTGGAGCCACACATTCCATGGCATACAGACGCCGAGGACACGGATGAAGAAACTACTAAGGCTGAAGAGATGTACAGAAACACTATTACATTCAAAATTAAGTGCAAGACAGCATCATGTCTATAATCGCTACATCCTGACAAAAAATTGTGTTTGGACATGAATACAAAACCATTTAACCACATCTGGAAGTATTTTATATGTTGTATGCGTTGCCCATTGTAGATTTTCTTCTTAGATTTCCCTTAGTTTGCACCAAAACCCCAAAAAACAATAGCAGCATTGTCTGTGCGTAAGTCAAAACTGCAAATGAAAAATAAAAGCAGAAAGCAAAGAAAGAGAGAGGAATAACATGGGGAAACAACAAAGTGCAACAGCCTAAGAGTTTAGGGAGGGCAGAGAAAAGAAGCTCTGTGCCCACAAATCTCAATCAAGTTAACCGCTGCCTTGATTGCTCGAGTGAGACTGAGCCTTGCTTTGCAGCAAAGCAAACACGTAAGCATGTCTTAACATAGCTGAGCCCAACCACCCAAAACCTTGCCTGGCAGTCATCAAGGCTTTGGCTCAGAATAGCACTTTCTCTTCAGGGGTGTGGAAGGAAAGAGAAGAAGAGAAGGAGGAGGAAGAAGAAGAAGTGGAGAAGGAAAACAGCAGTCATGTTCTTGAGAAAGGAAAAGAGACTATGTGAATAAAGGAACGCACATCTAACCCTTTCTTTGTTTATATAATAAAGAAACTCTTACTCCTCTCCTGCAATTTTCCGCCCGGTCGCTCCTTAATTCAAGAATTTGTTTGTTGTGCTATTGAAGGCATTGTTGATTCATGCATATTTGATTTGGAAATGTCACTCATTATATTTATTTCCTCCACGCTTACTCTGTCTATCCACTTTTTGCATTTGCTTTCTTCCCTATCTTGACACAGTCTGTTTACAAAAACAAACAACACTTTCACTCCTTGGTTGGCTTGTCTTTTACTTTTGTGTTGGATTTGGTTTCTTTTAACTTACTATTGCTTTGCATGACAATCAAAAAACAAAACAACGTATTCAATACCAGGTTGTTTGATCAAACTCATTTAAGATGGACAAGACGCTGCTCTTTTTGTGAGAGAAGAACACAACATAAAGCAAAGGGGGGGAAAAAAAGTCCTGTCGGCAAATCCTTTGGGTTGCCAGGGTAACATAAGATTCCGATACAGTTAAAAAACGTAAGGATGGAGAAAAGAAAATGATTGATGTGCAACTGTTACATGTTTATTTTATTCAGAATGAGGACACTGATGTGTATAGATTTGTATGTACTATTCATTTTTTAAGCTTTAGCACTCATTTTCAGGGTAGTATAAGAATAAATAAGTGAAGCGCAGGAAGAACAAGAGTTGATCATGTTCTTACAAGTGAATTGCGCACATTCAAAGGTTAGCTGTTACCCTAAGAACTTTAACATTTGACCAGATGCTCCTAAATATATTTTCTCTTTGCCTGCCAGATCCAACAGCACTCAGACCACACAGAGTCAGGCACGAGGAGCAGCTACCTTTCAACCCTGCGTGAAAACTTCTATCTGGCCTTTGATCAAAGCCTGAAGATGAGTCCTATTTAATCCTGACTACTGTGTTCTTCTGCGGGAGGGCGCGGCAAAGGTCTGAGTGAAATGTCTGCTATCAGGAGAGCCCATTTCACTCTTATGTTAAACACTGCTATTTGTATTCAGAGATGAGCTACATCGCCGAGAAATGGATCGTTTGAGGTCTAAATTAAGGGTGCAAGCAAAAGTCACACACACACACACACACACACACACACACACACACACACACACACACACACACACACACACACACACACACACACACACACACACACACACACACCTTTTAGCATGCTAACTCAACCTCACTCTATGAGTAGATTAAAAACAAAGTGGTAAGGAAGAGAGGCACATTTCTGTCCTCTTACTCCTTTCTTTAACTACAAATAATCCACACATAGAAGGGGAAGCAAAAGAAGGATGAGAAAAAGATGGGGTACATGAGCATTAAAATGGTGAGGGATGGGGTGTAAAGAGAGAGTGAGAAGGGAGAGGGGAAGGATAAGTCTAGCCTACAGGAAGAGCTGTACTTGTTGGGGCATTGAGAGCGCAACTAATGGATATGGTAGCTACTGTGAAGGATGATGAATGACTATGTGTGTGTGCGTGTGCAAGACACTGTCAGAATGTTTACACTTGTGTGCATGGAGGTATAGTAGTTGTGTGTGTGTGTATGGTGTGTGAGACAGTGAAGATGATGGATTCTCTTGGAGCATGTGGTCGGTGGTTTCTTGGGCAGGAGAGGTGACAGCAGAGATCTCTGTGTCCACATGGCACCCTCAGCCGGTCTGTCTGTCCCTTGTTTCCTCCTGCTGCCTCGCTCACACTTCCTCTCTTTCACTCTTTATCTCCATTTCCATCACTCCCTTTGGTTTGCTCTCACTCTGTGTTGTTGCATGTCCTGGTTTTAACCAAGCGTCTACATTGAGACAAACTGTCCTGCACCAGACATTTGACTACTTGTCAAGCCCTTTTAAGAAAGTTAATGTACAAATTCATGAAGACTCGGACAATCATGTTATCTCGATTTTAATTAACCCTGTGAAGAGTTCTACTCGGTTCTCTTCCATGATTTGGAGACATTGGCGCAATAGCCTATACAGACAGTGAGCATGTGTGGCTAGCTGTGATTGGACTGATTTGATGTTTTTTATCTGTTAGTTTTTATCTGTTTAGCTTTTTATCTTATTTATTGATGTGTGTCTTGTCTCTTTGCATGTGATATGGACCTTGAGTCTGAAATAAAGATTGAATTATTTATTTTGGAAAGATCGCTGCAGGAATCAGCATATGGATAGAGAAAGATCTTATGCTAATAAAAATCTTCTGATACTCTAGAGTCCTGTTTTTTTTTTTTTCACCAATATTGCTACACAGTATATGTTTACTTTCACATCCTGCTTTTCTTCGATTTTCCTTCGTCTCTGCAGGCCTTTCCTGTGTATCCATCCGTTGCCCCTCTGGCCTCTCTCAGCTCAGAGTGTGCTAGCCAGCGCTCGCCCCATGTCTTGCAGATGGGCGCACTAATCCGCTAACATTAGCTCCGTGACGCGTGAAGGCTGGCCCAGTGTGTTGTTTTTAGTGGGCACGGATGCTGTGGTTTAGCATGCTAGTGTTTGGGATTCTGCACAGCTCCGGTTGAGGGAAGAGATAAAGAGGAAAGTAATTGGATAAAGGTTGACCAATTAATAAAGGCCGGGGCAACAAGGGGGGGAAGAGGGTGGGGGGGTTTTAATCTGCATAGAGATAACAGGGAGAGTCAGACTACAAACACAAGGAGATAGCGTCGGATTGTGTCTACGCGTGTGTGTATTTCAGCATTTATGTCTGTGAGGCCTCAGTCAGATAAAGAACAGGCATGACTGTCAGTCACTTGGGAGTGCAGTGGATTTACATCCATAAGTCCATTGAGAAGATATGCACTTTTCTGTGCCACTTAATATGCCGGAGACGATGTTTGTCGACTATTGGACAGTGAAAGAAACGCACAGCGAAAACACACTGACCGCGTGTCTATCACTCATATCCTTGCATACACTCCAGCAGTTGACAAACACTAGTTTTGCCTTGCATGTCGCCACTCAGCACGATTGATATTAGCTTTTATGCTAATGTAGTGTTTGGCTATGTAAGACACAGTCATTCATCTCGGCCTGCTTATGGCCTTATGGGCCACGACAGAATTATTGCTGCACAGTACACAAGCTGTTGTCGTGGTGCCAAAAGCCACTATTACACATACACACAGACAGCAGACACACACAGCAGGGTGATGCGAGGAAACCCTGAGGCGTAAAGCCACGGAAGCTGCGAGGGTAAAGGTGTGTGTGCAGCTGAGCGCAATGTGTTCTTAGTTGCTAGAAATTGTGTCTGCTTGTAGGAGAAAAAAAACCAAGCTGCCTTTGTTTGACCCGTTGCGCTACATGAAGAAAAAGCAGTTATAAGACAAGGAACTGTTTTGGATTTACATCTGTTAAGTAACATTCAGCAAAAATATTTAAACAAAATCTCTCTGGCAGCTTTTTGGACTCATCCCACGATTGTGTCAAGGGTAATACACATGCAACGCATCATGCTGTCAAAAAAGAAAGCAATGTGGAGGAAACAGCAGGGTCTTACCTCAGAGATGTTGACGCGTCCCTCCTGGAAAGAGCAGTCATTGGCGTTCTGAGTGCACATGTGGCGATACTTGCACCAGTGGCATGGGAACGAGCCGTTCACACAGGAGAGGCAGCTAGAACAGAGAGAGATGAGAGGAGACAGATAGAGAGTCAGCAGGGGTCACCTGTTCTCCGACATGAGTCTAAATTATTTATCTTACTGCATCAACGCTTCATTTGACAAAGCAGAGCGACAGAAAAAATCAGGACGGAATGGGTTGGTCTCATATTGTGACGAAAAAGAATTACTGACGTTGAACCAGTGATATACTTTATGCGTTATACAAGCGGAAATACTGGTAAGAAGGTCATTTTATTTTCATCTCATCCATGTATTTTACAACCTAAGAGAAGTAGGTGCACTGAAATAAGCCAGTTGAGGGGCTCGTACCGTAGAGCAGACTTTATTTGGGGATGTTTAGATCAATAATTGTATAGTTTGGAAATGTTACCTTTTGCTTTTATTTTTGTATCTACTTTGTTACCAGCTTTTCAAAGTTCAAGTTCATGAAGTACATCAAATATAAAATGTGTATTAAAAAAGGGGGATAGAAAAGAATGAGGGAGAAGATTTGCGGTAAAAAGGTACCGACTGTGATATAAAGGACCTTCTATAATGAGTAGTCTTAATTCTCAAGTTTCCTTTCTTTTACTACTTCATGTCCACGCATGTCACAGTTTGGACGATTTCCCACCCTGTCTTGAATCCTCTTCTCTTCCCTTTACCTTTTCTCCCCCATCCATCAACTGTCTTAACCCTTTTATCGCCCTCACTTTCCTCATTCATCACTCCCCACTCGCTTGTAACTGTCTATTGCTTGCTGTTCACAATCGGCCTACTCTCTGCATATATTCCCCTCTTCTTGCTCTTCTATACCTCTGCTGTATCATTCTCTCCATCCATTCACCCTGAGCCTTTCTTTCTGTCCCTCCGCCTCTCCCGCTGTATCCATCCCTTTCATTTTCTGCCTTCTCATTTTAAAAAGCTCTCCCCCCTGTTCTTTGTCTAAAGCTCTCTTTTATCCGTGGGGCTAAGAGCGCTCCACCATTTTAAATTCACCTGCTTTAGCTGAAGCGAGGTGCAGATAGACAGGCTGAAAGAGAAAGATGGGAGAAATAAGAGAGGGAAAGAGGGAGGAAGAGATCAAAAGCAGGTGGATTTCCCTGGGAGAGGTTTAGACGCCAGGTATCGTGGGAGAGAGGGGGGGGGGGGAAATAGCGTGGGGGGGGTTCGCCTCCGCGGGGCTCCGCATGGGGTCCTCATGGGAGAGGGAGGAAACATTAATTAGGCTTGGAAGTTGGGAAGTGAGATGAGAGTCGAGCGTGGGGGGGTTCGCTCGCGGGGCTCCGCATGGGAGTCTCATGGGAGAGGGAGGAAACATTATTAGGTTAACACAAGTGTGGAAATTGTGTGTGTGTGTGTGTGTGTGTGTGTGTGTGTGTGTGTGTGTGTGTGTGTGTGTGTGTGTGTGTGTGTGTGTGTGTGTGTGTGTGTGTGTGTGTGTGTGTGTGTGTGTGTGTGTGTGTGTGTGTGTGTGTGTGTGTGTGTGTGTGTGTAGTATCTACGGGGAACCGTGAAGCCAGCCAGGTTGAAGTATGCAGTTTATCAACATAGATTCATGTTATTGGTCCTTGCTCAGCCCTAGAGAAATACTGCGCCACTTGGTTTCTCATTTATGTGTGCAGCATTATCTAATGTAACCATTATGAGCTTACAAATAAAATAGTTTCATTTTATTACTTCAGCTTCAAAATTTCTTCTGCGTGACTAATTTAGCCATTACAGTTTGTCTGAGCATATGGCTTATTGTAAATAGAATAAAAACCCTGCATTTAATACAGTCAAGGTAAGCAAGTCATAACAATAAAAGTGTGGGTGGAGGTGCTTAACTTGGAGGCTGGTTTTTATTCAACCACATCTGCCAGGTCTGAATTTGCATGTCTGTCTGAACATTTATGAGCATACTCCCTACAAGCTTTCAAGTGTGTTTTAACCCTGTGTAGAAAAAAAACCATCTCATCGGCATGAAAAATTACAGCTTTAATTCTTGAGCTCTGAGATGGAGCCCCCTATACGATTCCATCAAACCCTGACTTGGATTCATTTGGATCAATTAGAGCCGCTCGTTTGTCAGGTGCACACTCTAAGTGATCGTTTCCAGCCCAGACCCCTCCTTTTGAGCAAGATCAGAGGCTGGAGCTTAATTCAATCCCACTGCCGCTTTAATTGACCAATTTAGCATTGTGCTGAGAGAAGCTGTCCATTTACAATGAGGGATGTGCAGCAAAGGAAATAACAGGCCTCCTAATACCACACAAGAGCAAATAGGAGATTTGTCAACGTTCCCAACAAATGGGGGGAAAGCGATTAGGCTACGCTAGGTTAGGTTAGCATACAGTGCATATACTCAAGCGGCAGAACTGGGGGTTTAGCTCAATGTTGTGAGTTGGTGAGATACAGAAACAAGGATGTCAATACTAAACAAAAGATCAGTTGCCATACAAGTGCACACGTGGCAAGCTAGCCAAGCTCATTGTGCAGCATGATGCGTTTGGTTAGCTCGGCCACAATGACTAGTTTGAATGTCAAAGGGTCTTTCTTTGGTTGGGGGCCCACTGGCGGTTCAGAGCTCATCAAAATACAGTACAACACCAATTTAACACAGCAGGTCACTAGATCCAGAAAGAGAGCAGTACAATGTATTGATGTGTAGTTCACACCATAACACCCGTCTAAACATCTGTCGCTAAGCCCTGATAATAATCATTTTTATATGGACTTTTATCTTTTATTCATGTCAAATCAACCTGGTTAGTGTACCAGTGACTTTGAAATAACGAGCAAAATATCAGCAGGTAACCGCTGCCAACTTTATAAGACTTTTATGATTAAGGCCTTTGAAATATTAGACGTTGCCATTATATGTGCCAACCAAGGCCAGCAGTAGGCCCTGTCTGACAACCCCCTACTGCTCGCTCTTTGGTTCCTCGAAGTAACCATGAACCCCTGTCACGAGCTGCCTTAGGATCTCACAACCCCTTTCTAGCCTGGGTGCAGACCCTTTAAAAAGGAAAAGCCCACCCAAGGCCATTAGGACGTTTGATATTTCTTATTCTCTTGTTCAGAGGTGGGCTCCCTTTTCAGACCCCCCGGTCTCCTCTTATTGCTCCTTCCTGTCACTGGCCATCGCCGTTGGCCACTCGGAGGCTTTGAGCTGCTGCAGACACGCTCCCCTTATGGCCACGCTCATCATGCTAATTTAATCCGTTCATATTCAGATGCTAATCAAGACGCGCTAGCTTTGGAACGTTTTTCTTTTTCAGGGCTGACACAATAGGCTATGATTTCCTCCTCTCTCCTCTGTGAGAGTGCTAAATACAATCCGCTGTCCTAGTGAGGTGCGTTTGATACTCCTGCACCGGGAAAATGGGTTATTTATTGGATATTCATTCAAAGGAGGTGGAGGTGAATCATTTAATGGTCCTCAATCGTCTATCCCATCATTAGTGGTTCCCTTTCAAATTTGAGGGGTGTTTTGTAAAGACTAAGGGATTGATGTGTATTAATTCATGCCCAAGTGCAGAAAAAGAGTGCAATTTGAATGTGCCAAGTCAAGATATTGCAATAAAAATGTATTACATAGTTCTTCTAAATCTTTTTGAACGTCATTTCGTGTTTTTTTCTTTGAGCCAGATATGTACATTCTTCTCTTTTAGCAGAAAACTGTACACTTTCTTCCAATGCATTTATTTTATCCTAATTACTCTAAGAGCATCCTCAAAAAATGACCCAGTAACTGCCCGAGCCACATTAACGGTAGCGAAAAAAGGTGACTTCATATGGCCTTCTCTATACATTAAAACCTCAAATTAATTGCCATACTATCTTTCCTATCTTAAATAAACGGGGGGCTGTGGAATGAAAAAAAGCGTATGGAAATATTTAATTAAGGAGCAATCATGGCCGTGGGTGATTTTCTATTTCAATCTCGGCAACCCTTAAACGGAAACAGTGGGAATTCTAATTAGATTAATAGCACTATGCAAATGTATGGCATTTTTGAAAAGGCAGGGGCCACGACGTAATTATTTGAGTAAATAAGCGGGAGGGGTGTGTGTTTTTTGGAATGGGGGTTGGGTGTCAACATGTGAGGGTAAACTGTTAGGATAATTCCTGTCGAGCTCATTCCTACCGTTCCAAAAGGTATTGTTAATGTAAGCAGTAAACAGTATACGCAGTACTGTATGAGACGGCAAAAACAGATGCACGGGAATTCACAAAGGTACAGCTGATGGATCTCTCGTTTCAGAGTCCCTTCATCCTCCCCTGTGTGAAAGCCTGCAGTATTTTTGAGTTTAAGCCCATTAGAGTAAAACTTGGCTCTGTAAAGAATGACCAAGCATACTGGAAACAGGGCCTTGCATGTGGCGGTGCGGGCCTGAAGTCATTACGCCAACGACATTACCAGTCTGATCTCATCAGACGCCACACACTGACGTCCGGGGGGCATGGCGGGTATTCGGGCTGGAGTGCCAGCTCCAAATGGGATTCTTATCTAGGCATCTCTCGTCGCCATCAGAGTCGCTACGGCAGATGCAACGCGCCATATCTGTAACTTCATTAAACGTGTCCATTACATCAGTCCGAGGATGTATTAGATCAGCCCCGGGAGCGGATTTAATCAGAGTTCATTGGGGTAATATCTCCAATTGGGCAACTCATGCCTGCGTCACAGCTCATATATTTCTCACACTTGGTTTGTGATATCATTCCCATATTAGAATCTTTAATGTGACATCATATTTCAATACAACCATTATGGGAGTATCTAACTTTTTTACTTTACTAGGTGTTTCCTATATTAACATGAAGCAATTCTGACTAACAGGTTGTACACCCTTGGCAATAAAAGGCATTGGTAATTAAGAGCAAACATCACAAGGTCCTTATGGGACATGAATTAACAGGGAATGGTCATTGTAAACCACCCATAACCAACTGAGCTAATCATCATTGTTGCGCCAGGGGATTTTCTGTAGGAGGGCAGGGAGACGGGGTAGTTGGGTTAGAGGTCATAGTTACGGATTAGGTGTCCAAGACATTCAGGGCTTCAAGGAGCTGTAAGTGACAGAGCTGATAGAGGTGTGGCTGTGTGTGTGTGCGTGTGCGTGTGCGTGTGGCTGTGCCTGTGCCTGTGCGTGTGCGTGTGTGTGTGTGTGTGTGTGTGTGTGTGTGTGTGTGTGTGTGTGTGTGTGTGTGTGTGGACAATCCTCGAAGGAGGCTCATCTAACATCCAGAGGGAAGCCAGGATGGAGCTGTGCTGTACCCCAGGGCCCTCCCAGCCATCTGCTGCCCCTTGGCTAATACCCCGGCAGACGTTTCAGCCTCCCCTGGATCAAACGTGGATGGACAAGAGGGGGGGGAATCAAGTGGGCCGGGGTGGAGGAGATGAAGGATTCTTTTACCCCGACAGGGTGCATCAGGCTCGTGGTAAGACTGACCTAGGGGTTCGCCTCGATGGGTGGTGGAGATTTTTAGCAGAAGGTGGATTAAGGGAGAGGCAGTGAACTGCGATTGGGCAAAAAGCTAAGGGCATCTGTGTGAAGGAGACTCTTCCAAAAAAGCACAAGACTCCATTTATTATATTTGAGTTGAAGGTTTATCTTTCTTAAGGTACCAGACTAGGTATACCAGTGCACCAGAAAAGCTGGATGTATTTGTTTTATCGAGTGGGGAAGAGACATACATGTGGTTAGAGAGTGATTGGGAGGTATTACAGCAGACCGTCGCATAATGAATTAATCATTGAAGTATCATTAGTGTGTGTCGTGGGTTATGATAATAAGACTAGAATTACCATCTCATATCCCAATCGTTTCTCATATACAGCACGTTCGATTTTTCACTACGATGGAAACACGAGCCTCCTGTGGAGGTCGGAGGGGGGTGGGATATATGTGTGGATGTCTAACTGTATCCCTCATGGACTGTAACACGAGACAGCCCATAGGGAGAAGTGACAGGGAAAACAATATATTTAAGGAAGAAGAAGGAACAGACTAACAGAAGCAAATGACTGACTAATGTACTTACGACTGGTGGACGCTGCAGTTGTAGAAAACAAAATCAACGCTGGCGAACTTCTTGCCCGTCTCCTTTGACTTCAGATAGAGCTTCACCACTCGCTTGTCACCTGGAAGTATGGTAGGAATATATGGAAATAAATATATTAAGAATACTTTTGTCTTAATCTTAACAGTTAATAAATAATAATAAGCTACATTACGGTAATTACTGAACAACTAAATAATCAATCACAGTTTATACATTTGCAAAATTGGATTTATAATAAAAATAAATGATCCATCGACACGTCACACTTTGAATTCCACTTGTGTGACCTGAACATATAACACGCACACACAAAGAAACACTGTAGCTTAGCAACACAGCGCTCATGTCACACCCACAGACGGGTGGCATTAAAAATAGCAGCACCAATCAGAGTTTGGATGCCAGAGATGAGAACTCATAATGGGGCATAATGGGCAGTTGAAAAACTACAGATGTCTCTTTGAGGAAACTTAGAGCGCACTTTCTGACAAGTTTTCAGTGCTTTGACTGCGGATATCAAACAAGTTTTTCTCATTTGTAGCTTGACAGGAATGGACATGAAACAGGTGCATAATCTCTGGAAAATAAGATGCAGATATTTTTAAATATAACGATAAACCGCCCTGAAGTCACTGCTTTGAAAAAAAGCTAGGAGCATAACCAGTGTTGTTTAGAAAAGAAAAAAACTAATAAAATGAAACTGACAACTGTGCATAATGCATGATAATGGGAATTCAAAAACCGTTCTATTTTCAGTACATAAATGTAGACTCATGTTTGGGCCACTGAAAGGAAATGGGTAAGCGTTATTGGTGGTGACAAGGTATTCTGAATAAAGACGCACTAAACATATCATCTAGTAAAATGAGCGTTCTGTAGCTTTCTCCCATGTTTATCGTACAAAGAGACCCTTGAGGAGGTGACGCATCAGCTTCATACAGTATGGAGGAAGGAAGATGACATAAGTATAAAAAGTGTCAAATGGAATACAGAGTACCAACATAAAAAGAGTTTATTACTAAATTCCTCAAATATATAACTTCACATATCTAAACCCGCCCGCTAACTGCCACTACCCAGTGATCTCACTACCCCGATGACTTCATCGCCCTTCCTGTACCGACCTTTGTTCCTGGTGATCGGGATGATTTCCCGGATGGAGGGAGACATGCAGAAAATGTGACCACCCTGGATCTGTCCCTCCGTCTCCACATAGTCCTCGAAGGAGCAGTTGACCCCCGCTGACAGATCAGGCACGTTATGAGCCTGGAGGACCAGCTAGAGAGGGAAAAGAGAGGGACAATCAGTACAAGATCAATGGAAGGACATGGTGTACATGGATTGTTATAAGATATGACATGAGGGTTAATGGGTGTTGGGGAATGGGGGAGGTGGAGAGAAGCGTGGGTATGAGTATATGTGACAGCAGCGGGAATAAAGGAGAGTGTGTGCGTCAGTCGGAGCAGCTATTACAGCAAGGTTAATGTGTTCGTGTTAATGTGCAGAAAGAAAGTGAGGCAAACTGTAATCACTCAAAGCGATGTGGTTACTTTGAGGAGCCGCTGACAGAATGAGAGCTCTTACTCACATGAATAAATGCACACACGAATTTGATGACAAGACAAAGAATCCACAAAAAGTTACAGATGCATCCTTGGTGTAAGATGTTGTGACTTTTGAATGACTTTTCATTGTTACACTTGCGTAAAGACAATGATACTCTCATATATATAGTTTGTTTTAACTACCGTAATTTTCGGACTATAAGCCGCGCCTTTTTCCCTATTTTTCAACGCTGCGGCTTATATAACGGTGCGGCTAATCTATGGATTTTTACAGCTAACGGCCACCACCTTTAACTCTATGGGCTCTATGGCCGGTCCGCGGACCCCCACCTTTAAGCGGCGGGTTCCAGCAGGAAAAGCTGGAGGCCGGAAAAGAGTGATACAGGTAGCGCGCAAAAGTAAAAGTGGAACCGAGAGTGGTATGCCGCTGCTGCGGCTTATATTCAGGTGCGCCTTATAGTCCGAAAATTAAGGTAGTATAGTTTTTGTTGGGAGACAAACTACGTTTTTGAATCAAGACAATGCAATTTAACATTATTTTGGATCACTGTTTTTACTGTAGACATCGTGCAAAAAACATTGAGACAAAACGTTAATGGTTAAATTATTATTTCATTATCTACAAATAACAGCCTCCGGCTAAAATTTTATTCTTCTGTAAATGTTAAAATAATTTTCTGTAAATCATTAACATTTGGCTGATTTTTCTCTTACAGTTAGATATTCAAGCAGATGAAAATGTATCAAAGCAAGACATTTTTTGTGAGAAAACTTCATAGAATAGCCCAAAGCCACATTTTGCACACTAATCCTAACTCACGGGGTTTTCATGAGCTCATTTCACAGGGTTTATTCCACTGTTGATGTTGTTTTATCAGTTTGGAAGGTACCACGGTAATTTTCACAAACAGTTGAGACATACCTGGACTTCAGACATGGTGACAGAGATGTTTTTTGGCTGAACGGTAAGCTCCACACACTGCCTCTGGTCTGAAGCAAACCTCTGGGGCTCTCCGGCTCGCTCACACCGGTCCTTGCGTGAACATCTAAGGAGCGGCAGATAAAGAGAGAAAAGAGAGAAAGGAAAGGTGACAGGACAAAAATTATGAGATGGATAAAAAGAGAGGTCGACAGGGAGAAGAGTGAGACAAGAGGGGAGGAGAGGAGAGAGGGAGAATGTGAGCAACTGTTATCATATTAAGATGACAAACATGCACAGCCATCACGTCACACAGAAATGGGAGCAATAACGGAAGACAAATAGGCTAATAGCTTCCCCCAGCCATTACTGTAGGCCTTTACATCATTACCTTATTGGCTCTGACATTTGTGCAAGACTGCTAAGCTAAATGAACCTCCAGCCCCCTCATCTCTTCAGTTTACAGCCCCACCCAATCAAACTTCTAGGGAGATATACAGGCAATCATTAAAGTTTCCCTAAACCGTAAAAATGATACAAGTCCTACCAGCCACATATCAACGGGGTCAGCAATTTCCCCAGTTTGTTACGAGCCAAGCGATCGTGCTAAAAAATCGCAATACAGCCCCATATGGCAGCGGTGTTACTATTAGCTATTCATAATGCATTAGCTATCATTTCACCTTCGCACTAACAACAACTGGTCCCTTTGGTGAGAGAAAAGTGCTGATGCTGCGTTCTGCGAGGCCTCAACAATAAGAGGGAGACGGGTGGAAAAAATGCTAACTGCCTCTTCTGAACAGCAGCCCCTCATCCCCTCGTTTAGTTAGCCTTCGCTCAAGCTCAGCAAGAAAAAGCTGTCACCAAGCGCTCCCCCGGGAGTCTCTAACTCACACACAAACACACCTACACACACTGTACAGGCATGAGTTGTAATGCATAAAGGAATGTACACGTTTTCTCATTATAGACCTGTTTTCCTTTTACTGATCCTCTAGTGTGTGACTGTGTGAATATGTTTTGAATAAAGTGTGCTCATTTGTCTAAGAACACCTGCATGTGCGTGTGCGTGCGTGCGTGCGTGCGTGTGTATATTCCCCTTTCAATTCCAGCATTGATTGAAACTACGTTGCTCTTAATAAGATATGGCTAAGAGGACCAGGGGGCTAAAACGAGGCTTATAAATACTTTGGCTAATAAATACCAATTTGTCCCTAGAGATATCGGACAGATTTGGCAACAATATCAGAAAAACCCGAGTAAGCTGCATTCAAGACAGCAGGTTAAGATGTGCTCAACAGAAGAATATCTCCGCATCATGTCCATCATAAATGTGCATGTCATTTTAAGGACATTTGTGTGTGTCTGTGTGTGTGCTAAAATTGAGAAACACAGGTGGTGTGTGTGAGTGTGTGTGTGCCTTGAGGAAAGGCAGGTTGGTGATATGTTTCACAAGTTTAATTAAGGCACAGAGATGGCATTACGCCCAATGCTTGAGGTGTTCCAACTTCGGTTTACCATCCTGTCACCATTCAATAACAGGTCTCTGCTCTCACACTCTCCTGTGTGCATATAAACACACCCTCAAGTCAAAGGGAGAGATTACATACAGAGCCAGTGTTACTATATATCACTACACTTGTTAGCGATTAGATTTGTTTTCTAAACATAACTACAAACCATCACTCTCAGGGTTACAAAATGTTATCTGAAACAGTAAAACAAACATAAGACCTAGTCAGCATCCTAAACTTGTTACCAAAAAGTTCCCACTTAAGTATTATGTTCACTAAAAACACACATAAAAGCAAGCTAAATACCACTAAGATGTGTTAGTGATGCAGCCTGCCAAGCCGTGTTGTCATGTATATGCTATTAAAAGGGTTTAGCTTTGTTTAGTTGACACACTTCAGCAGGATAAGTCCACCCGAGCAGCTTTCAAGCTGTGTGAGTTTTCTTCAATTAATCATTAATATCATATGTGACTAATTAAAAGGTGTTAGAGGCATTTTACTTTAGTTATTACAGGGTGTTAAAAATAGTTCAAGGTCAACACAGGCCACATTCAAAGCACCAACTGGCTGTCTACTGCATGTGTGTGCAGTGTTCAGGTTCTCTATACAGTCTGTCCAGGTTTTACTGAGCATTTGGACAACCATTTACATGAAGAAAGATTAACTTGTTTTGTGAATATTATCAACACTTTGAGGTAAAGAGAAAGGGTCAGCTCTTTAAATGCTGTTGATTTAACATTACATTAACAATCACATTGTATTACAACTCATTCAATGTTGAAGTTTTAATCTCTCAGTCAAAGTAATTGACCTAAATTGGAAATTCTGAATATGATGGTATTTACAGTATAACATTCAGCAAGTGACATATACTGTATGTCTTAGCAAGATGTCAAAATGCACAACTAATATCACCACTGAAAAACATTTTAATGAAAGCTCCGAGGTCTGACCAAGAAAGCATCCTGTGTCTTTTTGTAATGCTTATTTCTGTCCTACAGTTAAAAACAACATCAGTACAAACTTTAATAGTTTTCTTCAGTAAATAGTTACTTGAAAAAAAAAACGTGAAAACAGATCCTAGATTTAATTTTAGGGTGGATTTTCTCTTCAAACAACAGGTATTGGAGTATGTGTGGTGACAAAACGCTCATGATCTTATGTGTCAGCTTTCAGGTGGGTGCACCCTCTCCAGCATGATCAACTGACACACAACTAAAAGCAATAATCTAACACAATGCCATGCAGGGGTTCCAAGGTGAAGAGTGTTAATGTGTGCATGAAGTGTGTCGGGTACTTACACATTGTGGAGGACACACCATCCACAGTGAGGGTCTCTGGAGCCCAAACACTCCCCACAAGTGGTGTACTGCTCGCAGCTTTCCACTGGGACTCTAACCACCTAGGGAGAGAGAGAGAGAGATAGAAAGGGGGAGAGAGAGAGAAAGACGGAGGTGATGAAGAAATAATTAGTATCCTTGATGTAATCAAACTCGTACAATGAACAATACCGTATACGCGGCTGGATGGAGATGAGCATTTGACAGTTTATCAGACTGATACAATTCAGCAAACAGAGTGTGTTAGTGTCAGTGTGTACATTCCTAAGATTGAAAGAGAGCTAATCTGTGGAAAGGGTGTGTGAGTGTAAGTGTATGTGCGGTGTGTGTGTGTGTGTGTGTGTGTGTGTGTGTGTGTGTGTGTGTGTGTGTGTGTGCATGTGTGTGTTCTGGTGAGAGATTCCAGTCCAGCGGTGTGTGACAGCCTCCAGTGAAGCGTGTACAGAGGAGTTCTTGCTATGCATGCTGGTACACCTGACAGGTGGCAGTGGCAACTGTGCTGTGATTGACAGGTGACCTCAAAAACCAATGGGAGGCAGAGGAGCAGACGGACAGACATGCAGTATGCGTTCGTGTAGCTCTGTGTCTGTGTGTGTGTGTGTGTGTGTGTGTGTGTGTGTGTGTGTGTGTGTGTGTGTGTGTGTGTGTGTGTGTGTGTGTGTGTGTGTGTGTGTGTGTGTCATGCACAGCTATACTGAATGTTCGAGCTTGGTGATAGGCTGCAGATGTTGCCTAAGAAACAAGATCAAGTGTTTAAGTTACCCTCGACTCCTGCTCAAAGGTGATGACAGACAGCTCACAACATGGCACCAATGGGTCTCAAAGTCTGTGTGCGTGTGTGTGTGTGTGTGTGAGAGACTTGACAGTGTCTTAAGTGTGCAACAGAGATTGCTAGCATATGCGCAGAATGCTTGTGCGCGTTAGATAAGGAGCTTGTTTTAGCACGTATGTGTGTGCACATGTGCTGAGTGTCAGCGCCGCACTCAACTTTTCTTTACTGACGGGCCCCAAGTCGATGAGTCGCTTGATCTCTGTGTTGTGTGTGTGTGTGTGTGTGTGTGTGTGTGTGTGTGTGTGTGTGTGTGTGTGTGTGTGTGTGTGTGTGTGTGTGTGTGTGTGTGTGTGTCAAATTGCAACAGCAGGCTTGTTTTAAATCATGCAGCTGAGAGTAGGCCGGCTGGTCAGTAAGTAACAGCATTTAACAACCCTACCCTTGGGTAACGCTATTATAGCGTGGACACACACACAGATTTTAACATGAGAGCCCCATCCAAGTGGTATGTGGGGACTTAAGTAGTGACTGGCCCAGTGGGGGTTGACTTTCTGATGAGGTTGGGATGAGAGGTTTAGAGACAGAGAGATGTATGGATGCATAAGAGAGGGGGGACAAATGTACAGCAGAAGAGAGCAGAGGCCTTAGGTAAGAGATAAAGCTGGTTAACTGCAGCATGGAAACCAGGCAGACAAAGGAACGCAGCTCTGAAATATTAAACTGGGGCCGGGATTCCTCCGTGAGCTTTAAGTACAACACAGATATGAGACAGATATGACATAGTGGAACTCATTTATTCTCTGAAATGTTTTGTATCAGACTGGCTGTGGGCTTTTTGATGGAACAATACTGCTCTAGCAGAGGGCAGACAGACAAAAACACTTGACACTGTGTGCCAATAAGCCCCCTTTTCTTTCGTGTTTCCATTTCCCCTGTTTCCCCCACTATACAGTTGGTTATTTCGATTACTCCTATGCTCCTTCTGCTTCTTTCTCCGCCTCACAATTTTCAAAGATTCATCCTTCTCTAAGCATCCCATTCAGTCACTCTACAGACCTCGGTGCAGTAACTTTCTAGTTGGCTTGCGGCCCAGAGACAAAAAGACAGATGAAATGATGCAAATGAGCAATGGTAGGGACCAGAGGGAAGAGAGGGAAGTGGTCATCTACTGGAAGAGCTGGCCGGATGGATGAAAATAGGGAAAGAGAGGTGTAATGGAAGACACACACGGGGCGAATGGGCGAGGACATTGTGCTGAGTAGATGGGATATGGTGGCAGACGGCTCCTATGTGTCATTGTCATAACGAGAAGAAGAATGGAACAAGGGATTGGTGTGTCTTGGATAATAAAAGGATGACAGAGGCGAAAAATGGGTGTGAATGAATGAGCAGATAATGGATGGGTGGATGAGGGGAAGTGGGCTATAGTTGACGATATGTGATTGGACACCTCGGAGAATAAATCATCACAGGGTGTCCTTCAAAGAGTTTATGATTTAACAACAAAAAAAAGAGGAAAGTGGAAAGAAGGAGCAAGAATTCCTTATGTTATCACAGACGCAAACCAATTCCCCCTCTTCTCTTCATAACTCATTATGACTCTGATTCAGGACAATGGTCCACATAAATCATGCAAACACTAAGGGTACTTGGTGAGCTAGCATAACCCTTATCACTGCCCCGTGTAATGATAGATATGGTCTATTGTTCACCATTGTTTCTGTTCTGGTAGTAGTGAAGCCACTATGGGCTTTAGTCAGTGGGAGTGGCATACAGCTGTTGATGTGGTGGTTGGCTATGATGGTTGTTTTTCCCAGTGGGGATATTAAATGCTTTATTGGTACCGGGAATGTACTTGTATAAACCGCATGTAGATCCAAAAAAATGTGTGTCTGAGTTTGTAGGGGGAACAGTGCTTACCCACAGACACACACACCCTCCCTTGCCTGTTTCCCCTCTCCGTCTCCCTCGATGGCTCTTTTAATGAAAGCCAATTCCCCACAGTGTGCCACATTACTCCTTTAAATGACCTTATAAACCAAGGCCGCCATCTCCCCTCTCTTGCCATCTCCTTATTTACAATAGCATCCAGCGCTGTAACTCAATTCTCCTTCCTCGCTCTCTCCCCGTTTTGTCAGCCCTGTACCCTGACCATACCCTCAATGCCATGACATCTCCTTTCTGCAATAAACTTTCCACCTTTCCTCTCCAATCTCTTTTTACAGGGCGCTATCACCTGCTTTTAAACGCCCAGCTAACAGGCTTTGCGACGGTCACCCCCAAAAAACCAATGGACTTGTAAAGCTTTCAGGACGGCTTTTCATTGGCTGATAAATCTATAGACATAAAAGGAACAGCCTTGTTGCGGTTTTTTTTTTCAACATAGAGTAAAAGAGGAGGGGGGCGTAGTGGAGATGTCAACCAGAACCTCTTCTTTGTGTTGCACTGTCTGGGAGCCGAGAAGAAGAAGTCTGTTTATTTTCAGTTATTTTTAGATTTCTGCACAAGACTATGCATCATAAATAAGCAAAGTGTGTGCCTCATTGAACAACTACCATTGAACCTCCTGCCTTTCAAACATAACGTCATATAGTACTTATCCAACAGCTCAGTATTGGAGGGGGAAACGTCACATGTTCTGATTCCAGAGGGTGATTTGGCGAAATCACATAAACGTGTGGCTCTTTTATGACTCCTCTGCTTTCATCAGAACCTAACTCTGTAATTATAACTAGCTGTGGTTGAGAAATTGAAAGAAAGAGTCTAATTAAAACTAAAATGTCACTTAACCACTCAGTGACCGAAAGGGCAGACAGCGAGAGGAGGAGGTTATCCCCTGTCATGGTCCCACCATCGCTTTGTCTCTGCAAACTAACATTAACCAATCTCAACTACCATCAAATCATCTCCCAGCTTCAAATGCTTTAATCTGCGCTGGCAGAGAACAGCTTTGTGGATGAAAAGAAATCTATATGTAACACAACATACAACTGGACTGTGTTTTGGCGGTCAATACTGTCCTGAGACTTTAATTCATGTTACCACCTGCTGCTTTGGCATCGGTGTGTCAGGCCTACAATTCGATCACTAGAAATGGGAGTCAGACCCACCCCTAGTCGTGGTCCGGCTATCCCTTTAGGCATAGTGCGAAAACATGTCTCTCACCATGATGTCTGTGTTAAAGACCTAGTCCTTCCAGAGCTGGAATACGTGCTCAGGGGGGGTTGTATCAAAGCCTGGGTTACCATGTGTGCATTGACTGGATTGTAAGGGGCTTAGGAGATCAATGACTGGCTAGGAGCTCAATGTGTTGACTGATTGGAGTTAAGCAGCAAGGCAAACAAGACTCGGGAAGCCGGGCAACGAAAAGAAAGGCGAGGTGCCGAAGGACCGGCAAAGGGAGGGAGGATGGGTAAAGGTTGTGCCGTAAGAGAAAAGAAAAGTGAGGAGCAGCAATCATATCATGTTGTTCCATCGGAAAATAATCTGTTGTCACATTATATGTGCTGAACGGTGCCCTTATAGTAAATCGCTGTTACATTGCAGAGATGTTATTGACAGATATGGCCATTGTGGTCAACTCAAATTGTTTGCTGCAGAACTGTTTTAGTGAATTAGGTCTTTATGTGTCACAGTAGAAGGAAAACGGTGCCCACTGTGATAGCTGTAATCTCTTGTTTTCTCACTCGCTGCAGTGTTATTTGCGCCTACTGCCCTTGCTGCCTCCCATGCTATCTTTATCTCTCTCATATTGGGTTTTGTCAGCCATTTCTCCCTCCCAATCACCTTTTTTTTCAATTTCATATTTTATTTATCTTTTGTATCCTCTTTCTCCTGCACTGGGTGTAATTATTCATCTGCTCCATTGTTTTCCCTCTTCTGAAATACTGTTTTGATCTCTTCTGCTATACTCCATCCCCATAAACACAGCAAGAGGCTGATCAAACAGCTTAGTTATTTGTCCTTTGCGTGTGCACATACCGTGAGTTCAAGGCCAATAAAGTTGACAACTAAAATTCCTGACTTCTATGAGGTGCACAGAGACACACAATGTATACACCACAAGCCTGCATTGCATCTGGAGTGCCTTCTCAGTGTGTCCTTTCTACGCTCCTTAAAAATAATATAGTGGCACCTTGATACAAACTGTAGCGAAACTTTAGAAAAGCATTCTTCCAACATCTGAGCAAAATCTATGGACATTAAATATCTCCAAAACCTGAAGCAAAACCAACCTTGAAAATTAACTTCACAAGACCAAATAATTGGTTTATTTTTTTGAAAATAAAT